TTATACATGAACTTTTCATTTTCYATTAGTGGAAAAAGCTGGTAGGCACACTTATATAGGAGACACATAACACTTTCCACTACAAAGACTTTCACCAATTTTTTGAGAAGCTCTGTCACTTGCCTCRTCTGCAGGCAGCCTTTGAAGTTCCCTGGAATAGCAGCGATGCTCTTTGTCTCATGGCAATCCATTCAAGTTAAACTGTTTTCCTATGCCTGCTTACTTTTTTAAATCAACTATTTGGTGGCCCCTCAAAAACCAATCCCAATGGATATGAACTACATAAAGGCTGGGCACCCTGTACCTCTGACAGAACAGAAGCAGAGTGCTGTGAGTGCTGGCAGGCTGATGAAGTAAAAAGGAGAGAGGCAGGACAGAGAGCAGAAAGGAGGATGAAACAGTTGTTTCCTGACACAAAGCACAGAACCCAAAGGTCCTTCCCCTGCTTCATCAAGTAACAGCTTTACCAAGTAAGGCAATTACCTGAATTAGAAATCACCACTAAAGGCACAAATCCCATTTAGAGATTTTTTAAGGTCAACGAGGGAAGTTTAAACCTCCTTGTAACATAATTTTACAAAAAAAAAGAACCCAAACAAGCAGACAGAAAAAATGGGCTAAACCCCACGATACCAAGAGATTCCATGTGAGAAAATAATTTGCAAGGAAGTTATTTGGGCTGAAAGTAAAGCTCTAGAAAACTAGGAAAGCATCACATTTAAAACAGCATATTGCTTTAGCTCCATTTGCATGAATCCTCTTAACTATTAAGAACACATACTACTTTTCCTGCAAATCACTGCCTCATTCAATGAACAGGGTGCTCATAACACAGAACTGTATATGCACAACCCTAAATCAGGTATTTGCTGACTTACAGGTCTAACTCGGCAACCGAATATATTTGAACATACATTTTCAAATGTAGTTTCATTTGTGTGTAATGCTATAGGGGCACAAGGTGTTTTACAAATGCAAGAAAAAATACAATAATTGTCACAAAGAAATTTTAGCTGAAACATACCAAATCAACACTGAACCACAGACATGCTAAAATGAAAGGGAGACAGAGGAATAAAGCAAGAAATAAGCTGATGTTGCATTTTATAATGCTTAGTCTATSACACAAGTACCATCAAAAAACCTCCATTGCTACCTAAGTTTACAAGAAGGCCTGACTTCAGTCTATTAATGCAAAAACAGTGATTCCAATGGGATTACAYGGAGGTAACTGACCTCATTGGGACCTTATAACTAAATTAAGCATTAAAYCCTAATACATCCATTTGTCACACCAAATCCTAAGCCCAGCAAATGGGTGGGCTGAGATATGACAGAGACTGACATAACTCTGCTGTCACCCGTAACACAGCAGCTAAGAATTCGGAGAAAGAAAGGTTTCAATTCACCTTAGACAGAAACCTCTAAAGCCAAAGAATGAACAACAGCCAGGTCCTACCCCAGWGTGATAAGAAGACAACTTTTACTATTTTTCTCTTGAAGATGGCATTTCACCAAATATGCTCATGTCCACATACACTATAAAAATACTCCCAGAAGTACTGTCAGAGTTCAGAAATTTTTTCCAAGTAAAAAAATCCAAAACTCCCAATTTTCCAACACCGATTCCAGGCTTAACCCTCATATTACTGAACCTAGCAGTGTGTGGCAAACATCTTTCAGCAGCACATAGAATCACTCTAAAACCAACRAAGAGAGGAAAAAGAGGAATCAAACCTCAGTCTTCCTCTCATATACCAACTAGCAATGTAGATTCTTCACGTAGCACTTATTTGACACTTCTGATGTTAACACATGCGGCAGAAAGGACTCCAGCTCAGTCTCCTATGTCAATATTGATTCTGCAGTGCTTGTAAGGATAAAGTACTTTTTCTGTTAGCTAATCCCATTGTCCAGAAAGCAGTTTAGCTGAGAACCACTATAACCAAAGTAACACCCCGTTTGTTGCTCTGATAGAATACGCAGTTTTATCCTGCATAATACAATTCAATTATTTCTTGTGCTATTGCCAGGTAAGGCAACTAATTTAAACTAATACTGATGATATAAGTAAATTTTAGTCATGCCAGGATCTCATAGGGCAATGCAGTTTCTCCTCCTAATTTGGACCTAATCACGTGTAATAACACTGAARCCATGCGCTTCATCATGCTGGAGATTTTGCTAGTTTTGTCCCTCCGTGCTAAAAGTAATCTGTGATGCAATATTACTGCAGCGTCAGACTCCGCAGTGTAGAGACCATCAGAGACAAACAGCAAGCAGCCAGGTAGCCAGGTTTTGGGGAGTCACCACTGAAYCCAGGTTGGAGCACACCAGTAGTGGGGGCCAGGAGACAGGGAGTGTAATGAGCTGTARGCATCTTGTACAGGGCACCTTCAGAACTGTAATTATGCTTACATCCAACTAACCTTTGGGAACAGGCACAGTGAGGGGGGAGATAGCTACACTGTGTGTTATGTTCTGCATTTATGCTGTCAGTCATGATCTGAAAATACTTCAGCTGAGTAGCAGGCTTGCATTGATACTCACACTGCAAGCATACGTAGCTCACATCTTAATTTTCTTAGTGACCTTTTCATAAAGCAGTTCAGATCTTTATCTCAACTACTACTCCAGTTCTGTGGCTGAAATAGCTAATGCGTGCTCTTGCTTCATGTCCTTGCTGTCCACTGCTGTCTTTAGCATAATTACTACCCGCTAACCATATCTAACTTTGTGTGCAACTTCCACCTCTTTTCACCCTTGAGGCAAAAACCCCACTTTGCACCAAACAATTTTGCAATAAGTAGCATCAGGACAGAGCTGCAAAACTCCACTTTGTTCAGAAACATAGAGGAATGAGTCTGATGAGTATGCACATGCATTGCTTTGGGAATGGGCTCCTTGCTCRCACAATCTCTTCAGTGACTGTAGGCACATTCTTCCCAGCATTTAGGAACCATAACACGTTTGAAGCAGTACACACTTGCTTCTCATTCCACATCCTCTGTAAATGAAAAGTATTTCTTTCCTCTCTCTGCACAGAGTATTCTGCCTCACAAGACAGACATTGTTCACAACATCAAGACACAGATTTTCCCATACAAGTTACTTACTGCACAAAGCAAATTGTAGTATCTTGTTGTAAAGCACCTATATGCTACTACTGTACAGTCTAATTTAAAATCCCCACCTAACGTGACCGTGGTAGCAATAACCCTTTTACAAGTGTCCTGCAGGAACTAGCAGCACCTTCACAGGAACTATCAAAAAATGATTAGCAGTATTGTTTCATCTAATCCACACTTGGTTAATAATGTTAATACAGCATATGAAAAGTACACAGTTTTTTTACCCCTATTTGTGCAAATTCCAGTAATAAGTGGTGCAAAAATAGCAGGATTCCTAACAGTCACATAGCAAAGCAGCAGTTTCTGACTGTGTGCCTATGACAGGTGCCCTGCATTCAGACAAATGAGCCTTCTCTGCTGATTGCCTTCACAGCTGTGAATACCCCTACACCATTACTTATTTTACTTCTTTTACACATACAATCATTTCCAGCTGTTACAATGGTGTCAGGTGCATGGTCTAATACAGAGCTTGCAGATCGGTTTGCTCTTAAACACGTAACAACCAAGAAATTCTGCCGGAGACACATTTAGCAGAACCCTTTCCTAACTTCAGCATACTAAAACGCTTAGAAACCATGCATGTTTATGTACTACTATTTTTAAGAAAAGTTACTGTGACATGCTGTCTTGTTCTAGCTCATCAATCCCCAGAATTTAGATTTCACCTCTACAAATCTAATAAAAAAGGCCTATTAAGTTTATCGCATTTCATGGAAGGCAAACCGAAAATTCCCTGGTAAAGTGCATTCTAACTGGATTTGGACTCCAGAAAAGAAACTACTACTCCTTTTCTCATTGGGGCAAGCAATGATGGTGCTCCAGGACAGTGGGCTTCCAAGAAGCGTTGCACCAGCTCACAGATAAAGACTACTCTTGGGCGAAGAYACTGCTGAGGCACCACCTTTGGGTGCGTTTGCACGCACAGGCAATAAAAGCAACTTTCACGCTCAGGCAGTACGGGGGCTGTTTGTACCCGGGATCCGCACACCAGAAGTTGTCCAGCCGGGTTCGTCCCGAGGCGCACCGGCCCCACCGACGAGCGGTGCTGGGGGKCTGCGTGAGGCGCCCCCGGCTTCAAGAGACCCCGCAGCCCCCTCCCCTGCGGGTGTAACGCCGCTCCGGCTGCGACACCGCAGCCGCGGCCCCGCACCACCGGCGGACGCGACCCTGGCAGAACCCCCGGCCCGGCCGCAGCTCGGCTGACCTCGCTGAGGGGGCTCGGGCCCCGCCGCAGGCCGGCTCGCGGCGGAGCGCCCTCAGGCCCCCGGCCCCACCGCCGGCAAGTTGGCGGGAGGCGGCGCCCGCCGCCAAACTTTGTCCGCCGCGGAGGGGCTCCCCAGCCAGCGCGGCCCCAGCCAACGCGGCGCGGGGAGCCCGCCGGGCCGCCCAGCCCGACCCCAGGGGTGGCGGGGCATGCGGCGGCCCCGGAAGGCGGAGGGAACGGGGTCCCCGCGCCGCGCACGGCCGCGATGGGGCACGGCACAGACCCGCTACCCGCGCCGGAGCACCGCGCGGTCCCGCCGCTCGGGCACGACAGAGAGCCGCTGCCCGCGCCGGGGCACAACACAGTCCCTTTGCCCGCGCCGAGGCGCGTCGCAGAGCGGGGCTCCCCGCACGTACCTGAGTCCCCGGGGCTCCCCGCACGTTCCCGCTGCCCGCGGCACCCACGCCGTAGCGCCCGGCGCGCGCGGGACCGCCAGCCGCGCGGGGAGGGACCTGGGGACCGCCCGCGCGCGATCCCGCGCGCACCCTCCCGCCGTTCCTGCCGGGTCGCCTTGGAAACGCGGGGCCGGCGCGCGGGTCGGTCCGCGGGAGCGGAGGGGGCGCTCGCTGTAGTACTACGGGCCGGGAGGGGAGAGGCGCCCCCGGCCCCGCCCCCGCCGGGGAGCGACCCCCGCGCCGCGCCGGACCGGACCGGGCTGGGCTGTGCGACCCCGGGGCCGCTGCGGCACAGCGAGACACCGCGCTCCTCTCACCGGGCTCCTTCCGTTCCGTTCCGTAGAGGCCGGGATTACATAACGGCGCCGGAGCGAGCAGCTGCAGGATTACACCATGCGGATTAGGGATTACGTTGATTCAGCAGATTGTCCTGTGCATGTCTGAGAAAGATTACACCAGCAGAGTTAAGAATACCCATTTGCTGTGGTAAGCCATGGTTTAAGTAGAACAAATTAACTCAATACAAAATTAAATGCACAAAAAAAAAGGTGTAAACTACCCCAAGGTTAAGAATCTGTTTAAATGGACAAAATAAATGTAAGGCTGAAATTCGGGTTTTGCCAATTATGTCCCCTATGTTGTGGAACGGCTGCTGTTAGCAGCAACCAGCTATTACTGCTGGATGAATCTTAAAAATTAATGTCAGCATGATGAAGATTAGGTACACTTGATTCCTGATGACTGCCACATAAACGTAAATATCTAAACTCCTATGGTATACATTTTCTAACGACTCCAAATTATTTAAGTGTCGCTGGTCTGTTTTATTATGTCACCGTGTGCKAAACTGTCTCCTTGTATGTCAGCTTGTAATATGGATGTTCTGATTACTGAATCTGAGATTGCTGACATTTGACAGCTGACATTTTGATGGACACTATGTCTGCCACTGAGGTATGAATAAAAATTAACCCCACAGAAACTTTAGGTTGCATTAATTTCAGTTGATTTCCTCCAAGAGTTTAGGGATGAAACTTGGAAGCAAAAGTGCCACAGAAGRTATCAGAAAGCATACAGAATGAAAGAATAGTCTTGTGGGGTGATTTTTATCCAGGATTGACTGTGTTTTTGTTTTAATGAAAGGATCTTGTAACATTTATTAATTCCCTCAAATCAGCACACTCAAGCTTGAGACTGGAATCTCTATCTCAAAATTACAAATCTGTAGAAGGACTACAGTAGTTTCATTTGACAGAAACCTCAGCTTTGTAGCTTTGCCAAAAGTCTGTGTGAATATCTCATACCRTAGAACTGGGTTTTCAAAGGGAAGTTTGCAGTTGGTTGCAAGCTACTTAGGAAATTTTGGCAATGGAAAGGTTTCCCTGAAATTCACTGTAATATCTCCAATTTCAATACTATGACAAGAKTTTTGCCCACTGTTTTAGTATATAATTAGTCCTAGACATACTTTAGTAGATAAAAATAAAAATGTAAACCCAAYGTTTTGTTGTAGGCATTTCTAAGTTAAGAGGACTCAGTCATTTGTTGTCATTTCAGAGAACTGCAATGGAAAGAATTTTGAACAACTGTTGTCAAAAAAATTACCCTGTCAGCCAAAGCACRTTAAGATTTGCGAGCTGTTTGTCATCTGCCTTCACTTCCTTTCTTATGTTAGAACTTCCAGATATTGTGGTGATCCCATCCTAAAAGACACTTCCAGYGTGTAAATTTGAGTAAAACACTGTTCTTAGGAGGATTTGTTGTAACATCTCACCTGGAATTCTTACTTACAGAGATCCTCATTTGTTTCAGGCAGTATGATGGATTTTTTCTGATGCCTGATGATTTTCTGTGCTCAGTTATAAGCTTCAGACAGTGAGGGCATGAGAAGTTATACCTAGGTGAGAAAAAACGGACTCATTTTTACAAGATTCCAGGACACTTCCTAGTTTTTTGAGAATGTAAGAGGTGTATACTACTGACTGCTTGACCGATATCAAGGACATCTCAGAAGGCCATTTATATTTAATCAGCCTGCTAAGCAATTTAAAAAAAAAAATCCCCTTCATTGTTTTTGTGGCACAAATACTTGATCTCAATATTGGGGAGAATGAAATTTTACCTTTTTTGTTTTTTAGAAAGAATACATTATGCAGTAAAATCCCATTCTCAAAGGCAGCCGTAAGGTKCAACATAATCTAAATCTACAAACAATGTATATTTGAAATAGCTGCAGACTGAAATGRTCTTTAATTTGGGGGAGAGTTTATATAGAGATTAATTTTAAGAATGTTTGAATAACAAGATCCATGAACCAAACCACAAATCATTATTCAGCAGTTGCTTTTTATCTGCCTATGCCCATTAAGAGTTACAGGCACTGCGGATGCTTAGGCCATCTAACCAGTAAAAGTACACRAGACCAAGAGGCAACACAGTTTCTGATTTAAATTTATGGGGAGTAATGCACACAGGTTCATTTAAACACAAATCTAATGAGTTCAAGGCCTGTTCCAATATATCTCAGTATACACAGGTGACCTAATTTTAATGTATAAACATTTCAAACAATGCATTACTATTATTAATATCAGTTTAGGTGACAAAGATGAGGGGGAAAAGGTAGAACTGATAAGATGATTTTTCAGTATGCTGGCACAGAGCTGAATAGTCTATATTTTAAAATTCAGATTAAAATACTCTTTAACTGGATACACAAAGTAACCTTCCACAAACTCCCAAGATACGTGGAAGATGAATATTTGAGCAATCATACAAYTGGATTCTTAGTTTCTGTGAGCATAGGCTACATCTGCATCTTAGAGGAAGGCTCAGTTTGGAAAGTTCAAGGAAGGTGCACAGCTGATCTTTGTGTGATGTTTCTAGTATGAACTCTGCASAGACAATCGTAAGAAAGTTAGAATRGAGTTTAGCAAAAAWTTCTGCTCTAGTATTTCCTTTTCTTTAAATATATCATCTTATTTTCTAATGAGATAGAGTCCGATTTATTCTTTTTCAGAACACTGATACATACTTGAATTACTGTTCAGAGTGCAACACCTCAGAGAAAAACATCTATTTTTAAATGCATGATTACCTCATAATGCACTTTTCAGTCTTAAAAAAAAGTCAAAACTGTGAATGCTGTTAGCAACATCTTTTTCAAAAATCATCTTTAGACCCAAACTGTGATACTTATTATCARAATTTAAAAAATAGCTATGCGTACACACAGACATCCTCCTGGATTGGTGAAGAAGTATTTTCACTCCCTCCCTTTACCACCCTCTTTTTCCTTGAATATGCAGACAACAAACTTTGAAAATAAATAATYAGTAGTCCCACAGCCTTCCTCCAGCTGTCTTGCTCTCTGCACTCAGTTTATAAACAATTTGTCATACATGGAACAATTAGTCCTAGTCCAAAGAGCTGATGGGTTGCATAGCACATCCATTTAACATAGTGATGCAGTAGAAAACMGTCAGCTTTCCCTAAGGAATTTTCTGCCAGATCATTGGATTTAAGCATCTTCTGAAAAAGTTAAACTTACATCACGAGCAGCACCAGAGATAGTGAGGTGCATACTGACAGTAAGATGAAGGAAAGGAGATGTGAGATCTCCTTTTTGCAGTAGCAACACTCAAGTTATTTTGTCAACTGAAGGATTAATATCCTAATTAAATCTGGCACAGGAACTAGTCTGAAATATAGGTAATATATCCTGTTTATGTTTTTTATTACAAGAGCTATTGGATATGATACAATTTTGTGGAACTTTCTCTGGGAAGGGAAATTTAATGAACAAGGACTGCTTGCTTCAATAAAACACAAATTTAAGTCAGATTTTTGATGCCAGTGTAAAATATATGTGTGATACAATTTATATGTACTACATTATGCAAGTATTTTGAATTCAGCAATAAACTCTAGTACGGATAACCCTAGAAAAATATGCAAGTGATCCTGTGAGCATAACGGGGTGTTACCCTATTCTGTACTTGGCCCTGTACAYGTTTGTCTTTGTTGTAACCTCACCCACACTGCACTATATGTAAATTTGAAACCTTTTTAACAGCACATTTAGCATCTAGACCTGGACTGCTAGAAAAATGAATCTCCGGGATGATTTATTTCTTAACAATAGAGTTTTAGTTCTGAAGTGACTCCTGTTTGTTTGTTTCTTTATGCCACATGCTATGTTAATTGTTCTCAGTTCTGTACACAGAGCAAAGTGTATCTGTGAGCCAGCTCAAGAGGACGCCTTTGGGTGGGGACCTTGCTGTTACAGCCTGAGCTGCCATTTCAGATCTTCTTGTATGGACAGGACAGTTAAAAAGTTAGAGAAGTCACCTGAGGTCCCATGAAAACCAGAAACGGCAACTTCTAAAGTGAGTACAAATGCATTATATCTTTTGAAACGGGCCTCTAAAGAAAGTCAGCTTTCTTTTAGTTAAAGCTGAAGTACAATTATTTCTTGTAAATGTGATAGTTTATTTTATATGATCATTTAATGGGGGGGGTAATCTTTCTTCCACTGTAGGACAGTTTGCTTAAATATTTACTTTACGTACATTTTGAAGTATAATTAAGAAAAAAAGAGCTAAGATGAAAAAATAAAGATGATCTCTTGTTAAGTAACCTATTTGGCACAGTAAACCTTGACTATATCTAACTAAATAACAGAATATCACAAGGTTAGATGGTTTGTAGAGTTGGCATGTCTACAKAATAAGTTTCTTTTAGCAGTGTCAAGTGAACATTTGTTTCTGTCCAGGCAGAGAGTTTCTAATGTAGAATTTAAAAATAATTGTCTAAGTTCTGGTAAATTCACAGCCTGTATTACTAATTTCACCTGACATTAAGACATGAGGAACATTCGAGTGAAACGCACATTCCCTCTGAGACACAGCAAATTGGGAAGTCCTTGTTTGTAGAATGCAAGAATGCACAGAGATCCTACCTGACTGAGTCATTAGCAGGATGAGAAATGGTTCAATTGTGAGCACTGTCTTTGAAGGTGCAAGTGTCAGTCTAATTAGCTAGCCAGAATCAGATTGCCTAATTGCATCAGGTATTTAAATTCTGAATAAGCATGGCAGTTTGATAAAAGCATTCATTGTTTAAACATGCTTTAGTGTGAATTTAGTTTTACTCTGCCTTCAGGGATTCAATGAACTTGACAGCAGACCTGAATGTTTGCCATTAAGGGGGAATTGATGGAACTTACAGTATAACAGAACTCACATATAACAGTACATTATTGTCAAAGTGCAACAGTTTGGAAAGTTGCATTCCAATAGCTATTTCTTGAGGGGAAAATAACACTAGGTTTAAAAATTATATGCTTAATTTATATGTTTGTCTTCAGGTGCTGTTGCCTCTACCAAGAACAAAAGTTGTTGTCGGAATAATATGCGAACAGGTAATTTCTTCCAAGTCTTTACTTGGATACGTACATATATATCATTAGAATTCATTAAAATTGCATTGATTTTGATAGCTGCCACTGGGATTGTCACAATGGCTCTATAGAGCTGCTATCCCTCACTAGAGATTGCCAGCCAGTAGTACAAATTGTGTAAGGAGATTATTTGCTTTGACCAATCCTAATATTTCATAGTTTGTGATTGATTAGGATGCAGTCCAAAGTTGCTCACAAGTGAGGAAGCATGCATCTGCCCCCTTTTGCCTTCTGTCAACWTTTCCCACTTGTCTCTCTTCCTTTTTTGTGTTAGCAGATTTCGGTATTAGACAGTCTAGTGTTTTAACCTCTGGACTAGGCAAGATAGCTGAATCAACATGTGGATTATCAAGGCTGGCTTGGCTCTTTGGGGGTTAAGATGGTGTTGAGCCTGCATTTGTTTTCTTTTTAATGACTAGGATGGTCGAGTTACAACAGTTTAAATGCAAACAGATCAGATAGTTTACGGACACAGCATTGTACCAGCTAYTGGGAAGAAAATTAACTCTATCCCAGCTGAGGACACATGCATGTCCTCAAAAAGAATAATTAAGAAGAAAAGTATTTAGAGGCTGTTATTACCTCAGTTAGTTTTAAGTATTCACAATCTAGCATTAGAAAGAACAACCTCGTTTATTCCTCTTCACTTCTTCCACYAAAATCCAACTTCTTTTAAAAGTAACTTTTGTGTTCTACTTCTCTTTAATCTCTCACATAGAAGGAGGTATCAAAATACATACATATATATGTTATATACAACAYATATTGGTAGAGTTCTGTTAATTTAAAAGCTAAATCTTTTGTATTTTTTTAATTGCCCATCATCACTTGACTTGTTAAACTTTTCTATCTTGATTATGGAGTCTGACTGTAGTATACATTTGACTTTCAAAGCATACAATTTGCATTTTTAGATTAATATAATGTATTGACTTACCTCATGAAAAATCATAACATATTCACCAATGCTAATGTAATTGGRTTTTGGCTTGTGTTGAACCCCTTCTGATTCTCCAGTACACTCTTTTGCATCATTGACTATAGATTTAAAGGGATAAACTGGTGCTTTCTCACTTTCTTGTCTATAAATATAGAACTGTATATAGAGCRTTGGAATTTGCTGCAAGCTTCTGCATTTCAATACAGTAGGTGTGCAGTACAGTAATACCTATTTTTGTATTGTAGCAAATTACCATTTGTTAGTAATTTTTTTCCTCGTGTTAAAGCTTCCTGAATTCTCTTTTATTGTCTTTCATAATTCTAATATCTACTTTATGCTGTGTTTCTCTGATACTTTACTAACTAGTAGCAAAATACTAATACACAAAATAGAACTAATGAAATGCACAGCTGGATAGAAAAGGGGCACCTGATCTAGATGGACATAGAAGTTTCTTCAAGTTTCTCATTACAGGTAAAATTAAGGTTACTATTTTTCCCTCAGTATTGGGAAAAAAAGTCTATCTCTAGAAAGAAATAGCCTATAGAAAAATTGTCTGTAATTACAATCAAAAAGGTTTCAAAGGCTTCCTAGGCACTTTTTGTTCTCTCTTTCCACCTCTCTCACTTTTCTCTAATAGACCTAAGAGAAAGTGCCTGAGGCATTTTGCCAGAACAGAAGTGTCTGGTTGGGCTGCAGAGCTGGTCCTTAATACAAAGATCACACCTGAGCAGTGATCTTTCTCCCAAATGTTCCAAAGCCTGAATGACTCAAGGCATTTAGCTCTCTTCAGTTCTCTGCCACTATGCCAATGTGAGACAGGTCTATTTCTGCATAAAGATGGAGAAAAAGAAATAGAACTATAAGGCAGGATTTTAAGGAGGTTAACGAATTCTCATTAATTCTCATGAGAATTTCTTTGAAACCTTCCATGAGATGTTGAAAAGGATTTTTCTGTGGGGCCTGCCTTCTGTCCTCTTACTTTTCCATCTGGTAAAATTTCAACAGTTAACTCCCTCAGACACATAACAGAGTTGAGAACAGGTCAAAGTTTAGAGTTTCGTTTTTCTCACTTGATTCTTAAAATTGTATAGATATTGTGATACACTGTTGAYATGTTCAATGCCCTCTCTTCGATTAAGGAAGGACATAGCCTTCGACTGAATTACACTCTCAAAGGAGGTCCACAGTTACATTTGAATAGACTAAAATCAAATAAGTTGTAGTTCTTGTTTAAAAACCTTGTTTTTCTCCTGTTCCCATTTTATTCCTATTGCAATTGTATTGTTACCCATACAAAATAATTTAAAAAGTCTTTTAATAGTGAACTTGTCGTAAATGAATTGCCAGTAGACAAGCACAGAAAGCTTCAGAGTTAAAACAAATTTCCATTTAACTTCTAACAAGGTAGGACAGAGCACACATTTCTGTGCAACAAGGTCAAACATGAACAATCTTTCCAGCCTTTCTTCTCCCCTCCTCCAGCTTCCTAATTTATCTACACACAGGCAAGAAGGTCCAGTTACCATTGGGATGCTGGCACTTTGATAATAGGAACATGAAACTGAATTCCTGGTGGGCCCTGGGTATAACTTGTCTTCATCTTAAAATAATGTAAGGACTTTACTCACACTCCTACATCAATATGCTGTCATAGAAATGGAAGAATGTAGGGAAAAAAGGGAGAGTGGAATTGCTAGAGCTGGCCTAGAGGATAGCAGGATGCACAGTGGTTTTGTTGCTTGGAGGTAGAAGTAGCTGAGCATTTCTGCCACTCTTAGAAAAGCCAGGCTTATTTTAGATACAAAGCTGGAGAAGATCTCTGTAGGGTATGTCTTATGGCCACGCTCCTAACTTTTTTTTGTCAGGAATAAAGGGGAACCCTAACTCTTTTCTTGAAGTACAAATAAGAAAACCAAAATCTTGATTCCTCTTACCTATATTATGTATAGAACATGTCTTTGGTACATAAATAGTGACACAACAGAATTCTTATTTTCAGAATTTCAGGAAGAAATAACAGCAAGAACACCTAAAGTGTGAGGTAACACTTGATTCTCACCTTCATGATGTCAGAAGACTGCTCTATTTTTGTTTGGATTGAGATGTGGTTTCATAAGATGCACAAAAAATATAAAAATATATATGCATATATATAAAATGAGTTACTGATGCATTAAATGTGTCATAAATATACTCAGTCCAACTTCCAMATTTAGACTGCTTTCAGAAAGAGCGAAGTGGTACAGTCAGCTACACTTTTTAAGTATAAAATGGACAAGTGCTGCTACAAGTGCCAACATTAATGTCCTGTATTTGGGGTGTTATTAGAATCCCTAATTTTGTTTAGCACATTAACAATTCATCTAAGAAGCCTATTGAGCTAGATAAAGCTTTTTTGAGATCTGTAGGAATTATAGTGTAGCCAGCAATCCTCTACATAAGTAATTGCAGTCCATCTCCTGGTTTGGTCATTGAGAATTGGGGTGGGAAAACCCAGTGATGTCCTGGTGTGCTGTGAATCAGCTTTAATGCAGCCCAGAGCAGTCTCAGAATGTCCTGGCCCACACCTGAGACTATTCTGGGTACATCTGTACTCACTGCCTCTCATTCAGGAGCAAGTGAAGCTAAAGATAGTTTGTGCCACTGGAACAGGACAAACCAGACTTCACATAGTAAGTACAGTGATTCACACGATGACCTATGGTGAGTGGTCATGAAAGGCAAAGGAAGTAATGGAGAATTCAAAAGTTCCTCTCACCRGAAGAGAAAGTTTGATTTRTTCATCTAATTTAGGTGTGTCATGTCTGATAACAGTAATAAATTGGTGATCTTTTCCRCGTATTGTTACAGTGCTCTATGTTGCTGACCTGGAAGGGCAAGACCTATACTGTTTCTATTCATAGGGTWGTTTTGTTTGTGTGGTGGTTTATTTTGGTGGTCTTTTGGTTTTGAAGTCTATTTTTCTCAGTGTTTGTTTTGGTCTTRTTTTTAAGATCATGAAGAGCTCTGTGGCACCAATTATGGATCTTTTTGTCTAAATGGAGGGATCTGTTATATGATTCCTACTGTATCCAGTCCATTCTGCAGGTCAGTGAAACTAAAGTTTGTGTGTTTAAGTATTGGACAGTAGCTGTTTAAAGATTATTTCTTCATTTAGTTTCTTTAAGAAATCACTGCTAAAGCATTAACTAAAAGAAAATACCTATTATTTATCTAGCTTACAGAGATACGACAATATGAGAAAAATAAATGTGTATACTTGGTGTATGCTTGCTTGGAAGGTGCAACAGTATTCAGTTACGTATGCATTCAGGGTGATATCTAAATTTAGAGCCACTCTTCCTCATTACAATGCAGAAAGAACAAAATACCCTTTGCCTTGTGGAATAGACTGTGGGAAAGGCATTCAGAAAGGCAAAGTACATTCCCAGTTTTTCTTACAAATTAATTCTATTGCAAAAAAAATTGTAACATAAAATGGCCTGACCAGAACAAAATGCAGAGACATAAAAAAGAATATAAAGGGSCACAAAAAGAATATAATGCAAGACTTACTATGTTCTCCAAAGCTTGCTGAAATACTCAAAGAGCAGCTTTATAGTGGTAGCCAAACACTACTTGATAAAGAAACATCAAGGCAGCAAATACAGATATTTCTTACACCACTCCATAACAGAACAATTCTTCTTTTTGAAGCCCATATAGCAAACTGGAAAAGAAGCATTTCCYGGTTTTGCATGTGGACACATTTCCTGCATAAATACTGCTCTGTCTTTCTATTCTCTCATTTACMAAGACATAAGATGCTAAATAAAACTCTCACTTTTCATGGTTCTGCATCTGAATTATCATTCATCACAATAAATTATGGTTGATAMAATGGGTTTGCATACAGACAAATATTACATATACCTAAGGATATTACCTTTTTTTCTTCTCTGACAACTTTTGCTCCCTCTTCTATCTTGAGCTACCACTAACGATAACTGGATAAAACAGATRAAGAAGGAAACAAAATCTTTTCCCAGATGCCTAATAAAAACATTACTTTTTTGTTTGGGACAGTTCAATTTAAATACTTAAACTCAAGCATGTAAACTCATTTAGTTAGACAGGGAGAAAAGAGGTAATTGTGTGGTAAATACTTATTGAAAAATATACACAGTATATCACTGTCATTGTTCAGTGTCACAATAAATCAGATCCAGAAGTGAGATTAAAGCTCTGAAGTGCTGGATGATGATGATTTACTCTAACTGCTAAACCTTGCAAGCTTATGCAATATAAAATGAATACTGCACACACAAAAAGTAAAACATTTTGAAGTACATGTTGTTCTTTTTTCTAGAACGAATCCTGCATTATTGTACATAAATGAAAAYGAATGGGTAAACTAAATAGCAGCAGTAACACAATAACAAAGCACCCTCTCAGCTACTGCTAGACTGTGTAACAAGGAAGATGTGTTTGATGCAATAACTGTAAATATGAAGTAACAAATACTTAGAACAATTCATTCTTCAGGAGGACAAACCGGTCAGCATAGGTAATTTTCACTTTAACAGCTCCAAATGAAGCCATTTTCAATTTGGGTACTATAGGGTTTTATAATCTGCTGAAGCAGAAAAGTAACATCTTAAGAGCATTTCTGTTATACTCAGGCAATCTTATTGCACTTAAATTATCAACTATTTTTTTCTGTATCTGGTGGTTGATTATAAAGTTAGATGGGTTTAAATAGCAGCATTCTATTTAAGCATATCCTCATTCTAAGCATGTTCCTTAATCAGTCAGAGAAGGCTAATTATAGATGAGAAAGGTTTTGTTTACACACAGATATCTTAGTAATCAGCAGTGATGTGAATAGAAACAACAGAAAAAAATGCATCACTATTCAGCAGAATTCAGAAAATATTTGGTGCTTTGGAACTTCATGACTGGCATCATCACACAGTTGCGCAGTTTCTTTGATGAAGGTTTCTGCCAAATCCCACCCAAAGCTCCCCAGTGTTCTCAAACGAGCATCTCCCACTGAAAGCAAACTCAAATCACTTGTAAAATCTAAGGCTGAATGATTGTTGATTAAAARGGGGAGATGGAGAAAGAACAGACTAGCAAACTGTAAAAATGCCTTAAAACACTTTTGCCTTGACATGGTATTAGTTCACAAATGTGTTGTGCTATGCAGAGTTAGTCCAGATTACTGATGGAACATCACTGGAAGTCATTTCATATGGGACTAAGAAAAATGCAATCATTCTTTAGAAATATTTATTTTGTAGCATGCTAACAAATTAAGAGCCCCTGCTTAGCTTTGGCATTTCAGTTATTTTTATCATTCAGAAATGGATATATAYAAGGTAGATAGTTAATTTAACCAAAACATTAGTTGACACTCCCTTCATGTGCAACAGTGGCAGATTTTAATTACAGCTGATGTGTGTTAAAAAATGAAATTGCTCAGCTGCCATCTTSCCTCATTGCTCTCGTAACAACGAGTTAATGTTCTCAGCAGCAAAAGGCACACCTGTCACCATAAACCAGATGAGCTTCAAACCCAGGAACACTCACATGCACTAAACAAACAGGCAGCAGGACAGAGAAGGATGGAAAAGCAGCTGCCTCAGGTGTATCATAAAACATAAGGCTGAAAGCTGTTTGCCTCAGCATCTGATGTACAGCTGTCCCGTAGTCACTAATTAAAGCACTGCAGAATTWAGTGAAGATTTTGCTTTCTGAGGGGAAGCTCTGGTACTCCCATTCCTTCTTACACTTGGTAGATTTCTGTGAGCATTCTTTCTGTATTTCAAGCAAAATACAGATGGTATACACACAAACACAGCTCCTCTGCCTCGGGGGCAGTGCACACAGAAATTAACAGTGAATGCTGTCTTTTTGGGAAAGGATCATACTCTACAGAGGAGTAAGTACTGCAAARGACAAAGGCAGATCTTGCAATTCTCCTCCCTGGAATTCCTGTGTATCTCTCAAGGATATCTCTACTTTTCTCTTCCTTTGCTTCCATCCTAATAGAATCCCTCCTCCACCTTTCCGATGCTAATCCCATAAATCCCATACAAATTCCTTCTATCACTTTCTGTCTACCCCATCTTTGCCTGGCTCTCTGAGATGGGCCCTTCATTCCCTTTTTCAGACACCTCTGCAGGTCTGCCAGGGAACCCTGCAAGTTGCCAGGGAAGGATTACCCACTCATCTGGCTTTTCTTCTTTCTCTGCCTCCAAAAATACACTTTAATGTATACCTCAGGCTCTTCTGAAAACAAAACTGTCCCATCAGTATTTTTCAGTTCTGCTTTTTGCTTGAAAGGCAGTAACAAAAGTTAGAATACACACCAAAAGTATAGCTAAAAAGAGTCAACAATGAAGATTTATTTTTAATAGGACACAAAATATAAAATGCAACACTATCTTACGTGTTTGAAAACTGTTAGAATTAATRTAACTGCCAGATATGGGAAAGCTTGCCATATAAATACATAGCTAAGGGAGTTTTAGGGAAGAATTGCCCATTTTTTCAACTTCTCTCCAGTAGGAGTATTTTATTTTGCTCTCTATGTATCAAAAGTTTTTAAACTCTAAATGCAAAACTTTTTTAAAAAGCTACTTAGGTGTCCAATTAACTTTKCCCTTGCTTMTTTACTTTGGCTTTAAAGTCTTTTYCATACTTACGAGATATTCTTAGAGAGTATGGATTAGGGTAACTTTTAGGAGTCTTCTACAGACTGAAGATTATGTTCATTTTGAAATTATCAGCCATGTAATCTGAATTGCATTGACAGGTGGGTAATTTCTCACCTTTTTCTGCTTAGAGCTTTTTATTTACATGCAAGTAGTTTTTATACTGAGAAGTATCCRGGATTTTTCTGACTAAAGGAAAACTAAATGAAAACTAAGGTCAACACCCTTATAGTAATAATGCAAAGCAGTGAGAATCTGTATACATATTTGACTCAAATTCTACTTCCTACTTTTAGAGTCTGTCAGACACRTCCTTGTGATGTCCACCTTAGAGTCTGGCAAAGAAAGAAACTTTACCTTCTTCCTAAATCACAGTGCCATAGGATCACTTGCACTGTCCCACATAAAGCATTTGAAAGGTGACAGCAGTAATGCCTGTGTTATTGCAAGGCTGTTATGCTCATGTTTTAGTTACTAATCAGATTGTAAAGGATCAATGTAATTGCAGACCTGCTGGTTATCTCCTGGCATCTTATCCAATGCAGTCTATTTTCTTCCACCTTTTATTGATGGTGATATAATTAATATGCTGAAAGATTCTATGGATTTCTTTCCATATGCTGGTGTTTTGTCTGGAGCTCCTGTAGTATGTTTGTATACAACAGTTCAGGCTGGCTCATGTCATCTGACAAGAGGTGTGGGTGTGTGTGCATGCATGTGCAGGCATCTAGGAAAGCAGAAATCTGGATACTATCTGAAAATGGGAGGTTTYAGTCACAGATTTTCCTCAAACATTGAAGACTGCTACCTTTCAACTCTGATTGAATTAGAAATTCTGATTTCTTAGAGGGGAAAGACCTTTTTTCTATTTTAAAAATCAACTTTGGAATGCTGCATAGTAGGAGCATTCAAAGGCAGCACAGGGCACATGCAGAAAGGGACACATTAAGAGCATGCAGGTGATGTGCAACAGCAACACCTGATCYAATGAACACAAAATCAATGACTATAGCTCCTCCTTACAGCCTGCACAAGGATTCTCTGGGTTTTGCCCCAATTCATTCAAGTGCCGGTGCACCAGTGCCTGCCCTGTCAACAACTGCCCTTAACCTGTGCTCTATTTTTAGGTATCAGTTATAAACAAGATAAACTATGAGTTGCTACTGGCTTTTAAGACTGTGTACAGTAAGACTGACTGCCCCTAAGAAACAGTACATAGACACCATCATTCCGCATTTTGTTCACAGCCCAAATGCTTGTTAGAGATGTATTTCTGYCTTGCAGTCACTGCATATGTAACTCCAGTGAAACTATTAGAGCTCTTGCTAGTGCAACAGGATAAGCAGGTCTTCAGAGTGAATTCCACCCCTAATTCCTGAAGTCTGCTTAGTTTCTTTCTYAGTTCTTTTTAGCAAAAGAACTTCCAGAAGAAACCTTTCCTGGTTGTCTTAAAGCACATCAATTGCTTCTATGTTTAACATAGGCCTGCACCTATTTGTACATCAGGACAGATGACTTCATAAATGCCTGTTCAAGCCAGTATTTGAATGTCTGGATTTTCAGAAATGGCCTAACTGTAGCACAGCTTGCTGCTAGGGTACATTAGCTGTAATTTTATTATTTAAGCATAACACAGAGATACATAATTTTCCTGTTTCCATGAAAACCTACATAATTCTTAGGTTATATGACAGCATTTTCTACATGGCATGGGATCACTTCCAGCAAGTGTGTCAACAGGCCAGCCTAGAGAAAGTAGATTGGTAGTTTTGTAATCCCTAATCCATTGCTCACAGTTAAACAGATACTACCAAACTAGTTAGTCACGTTTTTACAATCTGTTTCCATTACAACAGGCAGAATTAATAGTGCTTTTTTCGTATAGGTTTTTTTCTCTTTGCTGTAACCTTGGATTCATACCACTATACCCTTCCCCTTACTATCTTAGGCCTTCAGGCTCTTTTCCCTCCTAAAGACTTGTGAATACCTGAAGCATCTGGTTCTGTTTTTCTTTTTCTTTTGATTGCTAAAATCTCAGTGACCTTTTTGCTATGCTGTCAACACCTTCCCAATTTTTTTCCTATGATCTTTTACAGAACATGAATACAGCTTCCATGCACTGTTCACACCAACTCTACTGTATCCCAGCAGTTCAGTAACCCTCCCCCTTTACCTGATCCTGTATGCAACTCCCTACAGCTACAACTGTCTTTTCTTCCTCCTGGTTCATTTTGCTCTTTAGGTTTCTGAGTTACTCCCTTTACACTTACTCTTTAGAACTTTTCCATGAGCCTTAATTTGATGCCAAAACCTATTTTTTTCCTTCCTGTATCATTTTAGCCTTGCATTATTCTCCAGTTTTCATTGCTATTCAAGAATACTCCTATGAATTTCTTATTCCATTTTCTGTCTCTCTTACTCTATTCAGCTCTCCAAAGCATTTCTCTCTCACTTGCTAGAGAACAATGCCCCACTCAAACTACACTTCTATTCTTAAAGTATTCTACAGTATTTCAGAAATAGGCCACTGAAAAGCCACTAGACTTACAATAAATATCTGGAACATTATCTCAAGCAATCAGAGCAGTCTGCCTACCCTTGCTTCTTCCAGCAGTGAAACATCATGACTTTGAAAAGTCTCAGATTGYCCTGAGTAAATGGGTGTCTGTTTGATCAGTTGCAAAGCTTTAATATATGATGATAATTAGATGTCTTTTTTTAGTGTCTAAAGCYTCCATTATATTTCCAAAGACAAAGATTTAAAATACAAGGGTAGTAACTGTTTGTGCAGTGGTTTAGGCCAGCAGTACTGAAATACTGGTTCATAATCTACAGAAAGTGTAATGGGAGTCACATCAGGCATCAGAAAACTCACAGGGATCCTTTGGTCTTAGTTAGATATGCTAAACATTCTTCTTTTTCGGCTGTTCCTCTGCACTCCACCTTCTTATCCCTCATCTGAAATTATACCTTGCAGCTGCCAATGGCAGTTGAGAACTTCAAGTATGTTGCAGAGTTTAGCCCATTTTTCTCAGCTGGAGCCTGAAATTGCTTATGTCACAGATTATTATGACTTCAGTGCCAGAAATAGCAAGAAGGAGCAAGATCTTTAGTAATACAAATAGAGAGAAGCAAATTTACATTGAAAAAAATACACACAGAATGTAGATATTGAAAGAAGTGYTTTCCATTTTCTGTAATGAAATCAATTCCTTAAGAAAACTTAGCAGAATAAATGCAAAATACATTAAAAATGATGATTAGTTTAGCTTCAACCTACCTATTTTTGACTAAATATATGAATTACTAAGCCATTTATTTTATTTATTTTTAATAAAATACCATACCATTTTTTCCTATGGTAAAATGTCATGTTCATTTTAATCCTTTTTTCAGAAGAAGTTTTCAGAACCTCAATACATAAAATAAGCATAGTAGAGAACACTTTTACCTAGGTCTCTCCAAGAGGGTGTTATTCACCAAGCATGTAACATGTTCTGGCATGAACTATTGCACTGCATAAACTACTTCTGCAATTTAAGCTGTACTGTGTCTCAATGAATTCCCATTTCCTTGATCTCTTTAGCTGACAGTATTAGCTCTTCAACAAAGGAAGCTAGAGGTAACCTGAAATGGGGAAAAGAAAGCATGACTACTGTGTGAGGCCCAGTGGGATGACACAGTTAACACTAAAGTAGGCTTAATTAATTAAATCTGTCAGTGGTGAATATATTAAACTTAATATATAAAAGCAGTGTGGATCAGAATATAAACTTGATACCCAACATGCCGAATGGCTTTTGTTCCAGAAATATGAGGTGAGAGGAAATTTTGTAAGAAAACTTTCTGTGAAGCAAATATAACCTTTGAATTATGTCATAACGAGTTCTCTACCCATAGGAAGCCTTTGTGCTTTTCGTATTACATGACAAATTACCATCTAATCAGCTACAACTTGGTTTCCCAGGTGTATTGAGAATTACACAGGAGCTCGTTGTGAGGAAGTTTTGCTGCCCAGCATCAAATCCCAAACAAAAGGTGACCTGTTTGCAGCTTTCTTGGCTTCACTTCTTCTTCTAGGAGTTCTTGTAATTGGAGCATTCTACTTCCTTTGCAGGTAAAAGTGATTCATAAAGCTGAAGCTATTCAATCAAGTAGAAATTTCTTCTGGTAATCATGTACTAATTATTTGAATGTAAAAGTATGTAATGAATTATCCATAAGGTTGTATGGTTATTCAACATCAACATAATGAATGTGGATGTCTCAACTTGTTGCCTGTAATATTTACTTCCCAGCTGAAAGTTTTTTCAGGGTCATTTCTAAGCTATTACTTACAGTTGCATGGTAAAAACTATGGATAGTACACCCATATCTGAGATCTTACAGTCTGCCTAGAGTTAGTGCTAGCATTTTAAAACATTAGTCTCCTTATATTGTCCAAAGAGTGACAAGTAGAAGTCAATTAATAAAGTGCTCATTGTTCAGAAACTGTTCCTTGTCAATTGGCAACCAAAGCAGCTGGTGTCATTAGCTCCTAATTCCTTTACCACTCCTGGTGTAAAAAGGATAACTAAGAATGAAATTGAGGTATACTTCCAGGTAGATGCTTTATTAGCATTTAGACAGATCAGAGAGCTAATTTGTCCASGATGATCCATGTTTGAGCAGAAGGAAGATGTCAGTGTTAGACACAAGTGCTGCAGGGTTGGTTTTAGTAGCATTTTAGGCATATTAGGACTTGCAGTGAAAACACATAAGCAGTTAYTGGGATTGAGGCTACTATTTGATGCTGTACATATATCAGTACATTTATACCAAACCCAAACAAACTTATCATCCTCATCTCCAATGCAAGTCAGCTTCCTATGTCCCCTCTTTATTTTTGGAGTACAGCACTCATTGTAAGAACTCATTTTGTCACATACCATTAATATGTGTATATGCATGTCTATGCCTCTATAAGGCAAATTACAGCCCCTGTAATTCTTTGCCATCACAGACTTGCAGCCTCTTCCCTTTTCTCCTATCCTGCATTTCTCCTTGGTTATGATAACCAACAGGTCTTGCAATTCTGTTCTTTGTGCTCCCATGGTCACATTGCCAAATCAACCTCTCTGATCTGTGCCTTTCAATAAGCGACCTTTGGAATAGCTGGTCGAGTTTTACCTCAGCTGCTGTCATGGAAACCCACTGAATGCCAGTTTCTCCCACAGCTGAATGTAGAAGAGATAGAGAGCATTTGATAAAACAGTTGGTATAAAAAAACCCCTTGTTGTAAAGGATACCCCCCACCTTAGCAATTTTAGTTAAATTRATCCTTCTTAGCCATGGAATGTCACAACAGTTTTTCACTAAATGCTTGCAAATTACTATAAAGTCATTAGAACAGAAAAAAAAAAAATCATTCAAGTCTCATAGAGAGACAATACTTCTTTACAAGTAAAATTGTCTCTGAGAAAAGGAAAAAATGTCTTCAAATGTGTTACAACATTCCTTTTCTCTCATATCATATAATTAGGGGAAAGTTSGAGACAATCTATGGAGTTTTCAAAGTACAGAAGCTTAGAGTGACAGCAATGACAGGTCTAGCTCTTTTATTAGACAGCTGGAACCTCTACTTCTCTTTACTCAAGTATTACTTAACTGGCAGAACAAGTAGTAATGGCTCTTTATTAGCAAAATAACAAGGGCAACAAGTCATTCAYAACAGTTGCCCTTGAACCCTATCCTACATACCAGACTAGCTTGGGAAATCTCATAAAACCATCATCAACTCCTTTGGTACAGATAAAAGAACCTAATTGGCTAGAAATTGTCTTGTCTTACCTTTTACACTTCAGAGGATGATGCAGGATGATCATCTGCTAGAGAAATCATCTATAAATGAAACACTTTACATCTGTAAGTCCTTATCTCTTGGCTGAAGTGATCAACACATGAGGAGTCTCAAGTGGATACTTTAATGTACTCCGCTCTTTTCATCTGAGTAAATGAGGACTATTGCTAAGAGCTGTTATTAATCTAGATCTTTTTCCCTCAAACTTGATCTATCACCTGTATCTTAGAAGAGGGTGGAACTAGGGTTTATAACAGTTAGCTGAGAGTTTGCATCATCTTCAACTTGGCCTCCTGGCAGGATATAGTAAGTTTAAAATATTAAGAGAATACTGTGCTAAGTTTCCACTATTCCGCTTCAATAACAAGGCATTTGATCCACAAACAGGAAGCAGAAAGTTTTTCCCCTGGTACTGTGTTAGTGAGCATTTCCACAGCTCTTTCAGCTGAAGGTTCTAGTRGGGTTTTAGTAGAGACAGTAATGTAATCTGCAGGAATGCAGAACGGGAGATACTAATTGAAATTCAGGACAAGGAAACTGAATTCCTAAAATTACACATCAAATCTCTTGGAATATAAGAACTTAGTGCTCTATTTTCYTGTCTTTATCATTACTTGTACCTCCCTTTTTTTCCAAGTTTCCTTCATCTCAGGCTACTTGGGGCAGATTTGAGGACCAAACATGTGCAAGTGCATTTAATGCTCCCTAGAACACTCAGCATACAAGGGTGGAGAGAAAGGGTTTCATTGTTCTGCTTATAAAACTTAATCATAACAGTGAAACAGTGGMAGTAATCCATAGAAGAGCAGGACTGCATATGAAAGCTCTGGGTGAACATGGAGAAATAATTCTCTTTTTACATTGAGCTGAGTAATCACATTTTTATCAACTGATTTATTTTTTTCCAGTCTTCAGAGTGCATGGAGGCAGGGCAAATGCAGATCTAGCTGCTCCCCATCTTGAAACAACAACCCCCCATCCCCCCCAACAAACAGTACTGATAAAGCCTGTCCTTCTGACATGGGCAAAATGGCCAAGTGTACAAAAATCCCTGCTATTGCACTAGTACTGAGGAACACATGGCATATTTTGCTTCCAGCAATTCACCTATCAKACCAGGTCCATCTGGTCTTCTTCCTCCAGAAACATATTGCATTAGGGTTACTGGGAGAAGAATAACAAAGGCAGCTGATAAKAATAGATGCTACGTGAGCCAGCTTTTCTTTAAAAGCAATAGAGAAGCCTAAATGCAACACGTGTAGCTCAGAGGAATAGAGCAAACTCTAGGGAAAACTAAAATAAATCTGCAATTCATTTCTATATTTCATTGTAAGTCCATGCTGAAATGCCAAATTACCTGTAAGTGTAATATTGATGAACAGGAACTCAGCCAGCCAAAACAACAGGGTATAGGAATAAAGCCATTTAAGCTGTCCAAGACAACAGACTTTGTGGAGGTTTTACATCACCACAGGACACAAACTGGACAGGACAGAGAATGCTCATGACTCTTGTCAAGAGAGCAGATGTCTGATTGCTATTACAAAAAAAGAGAACTAGACAGCAAGTGATCAGCTCCATTTACAAGATAAGCTTCTCCCCAACGAAGTGTGGAAAATTTGACATAATTTCCAAACACTAAGGAAATATATGATAAATAATTATGTGCTATTTACTAATTGCTTAAATAAAGACCTAAGAAGTCAGACAAACAGAAACATTACCTTCAGGAGAGAAGCTATGTAGTTCCAAGTGCTGTACTGGCCTCTGATCTCTGTTCCTCTCCCTCAAATACATACTTCTCAGAAACACTGAGTATTAATTAGAAAGTAACTGTAGAAGACCCATGTCACTTTTTTCAATGGAAATGTCATTCAATTAGTTTGTCTCTTCCCTGATAAACTTTTTTCACTCTGTGTAATTTTCTTTTCTTTCTCTGTTGTCCGTTTTTTGTTTCTTATGGTCAGGAAAGTTTCCATTCCAAGGACAAGTTCTTCAGAGTGTGGCGCCAACCTAGTTGAAGCTACAAGSAGCAATGGCTGCAACAGTGAGTACAGTTTAAATTTAAATGACTGGACTCCACAAGGAACATGGGGGATACATTTTTTCTAATTAAAATGTATGTTAACTAAAATGTGTGTTAATTTTTTGTTAAATGTGTTTATTTTTCAGAAATAACAACAGCATAAAGCATTAGAGTGGAAGAATGGTGAGGAAACAACATGCAGAGCAACCCTAAGAATGTGAGTTGTAGAGGGTGATGTGGTAAGCAAGATGAGAGAAGAAAGTTGACTGAAATAGTTACATATTGGAGAAGACTATAACTAAGACATAAACAGTTGCACTTAATGGAGTACCTGTGTATTTTTTAAGCTGTATAAATTATACAGAAATCACTATAATTTATGTTGGAATTCTGTGAGATTTTTAATGGTTTTCAAAAATGCATGAGATAAATTGGGTTTTACTACATGGGAAATATTGAAAATACAACATTTTTTTTTTCACTGCACAGAGTTTTAGGGTTTTAGAGGGAGGTGATACTACAAATTTTTGATAGAGGTTTTTAATTTTTCACAGGATTGYCCCAGAGGAGCTGAAGAGCCTCTTGATTCAATGATTTCAAAATTTATACTTGTGATACATGTACAGAATTTGGTTTGTTTCAGATACCTTTACCAGATGTAGGAGAAAAAAAAAATACCCCACTGGTAGTTTACTGACCAGCTTCCTGGCACACGCTTTTAATCCAGATTAAAGGGAAATACTAAGAAAAGAGATTGATAATGGTTAAAAATGTTTTTTAGGCAGAGTATTTGCCCTCTGGTTGGTAAACATCTCTAATATTAAGCAAGACATAATCCTTGATGGTTTTTAATTTTGTTGGCTTTCTTCTGAAAATCTCACTACTGAGGCAAAATGTAAACCTTACCTTAAACTTTCCAGTTGATATTTCAGATAGCAGAAGTCAGGAATTTTGTTCATCAGGTCAATTTCTGACAAAATATTATCTAGACAGGTGTCTTGGCTGAAAAAGTCCTGCCATCTCCAAAGATTTATTTCTTTTATTCACATAAACATCTGTTGATTACAGTAATATATTATATTCCACATTTTGGTCCCTTGTAAGTATTCTCTTATTCAGACAAAAAGAGGCCACAYGCCATGGTCCATGTCTTTCTTTGCCTTCACAACACAAAGAGAATGTCTGGTTAGTCAGAGGTATAGAAAATGTGAACTGAACTATTTTCTTTTCAACTTATTTCTAGCACTGGAGGCTGAAAACAGCAAAAATCATAAGGGCACATTACCAAGCAGGTAATGTAATGTATGTAATTTAGAAGGTAGTACTGAAGGGAAGATTAGTTGAGAAAACTTCATGAATTGAGAGAAAATGCAGAACAGAGATTTCTTATCTCTGAAATAAACAATCMAGAGTGTGTAAAAACATGGGTTCAGAGAAAATGTTGAATAAGTTCCTATTCCTARGATGTCTACTACATGCTCTAGTGTCAGAATAAACAGTGTGTACTTGTATCAATGTAGACAAAAGCATGGGGGGGTGGTGCAGAGAAGGAAAGGCACACGGGAACAGTGTATAAGGTGAGAAGTCAAAGAGAAAACCATGTTACTATGGCTACAGAACACAAACCAGAAAAATTCATCACCTTCTAAAAACTYATGTCAGAGAAGTCAGAGTCCAAGTTAGTGCTCAGCATGTGAAARGAGAATCTGAGGGCACCAAATAGAGGACTTGATCCAGAGATTAAGTTATATGAAGCACTAAAAGATCACTTTCTCCCCRAATTAACCAATCTTACATGATATTTTCTGGAATTCAGATCTTTAGCAGATAAACTGAAGGAAGCTGACAGTACTGTTTTAAAGGCTACAAAGAATAAAAACTATTTTTCATCACATAGGGACAGGTCACCATTGTACAGAGCTCAGGAGATGTGTAGCAATACTGACAGCTACATCAGAATCAGTGTTACCTCAAGTACTTGCACAGCCTCAGTGAAAATTAATCAGAGATGACTGCTGTTAGATAACCTTGCTGTGCTATTGATCATGGGACAGTCAGATTTACAGTCTGGAATACTATCTCTACTGAAGAAGGAAAAGGCTTGTGGTCATCTGAAGTGGTAATTCAGGAAGGAGATACTAAYAGAAGATACAAGAAATAAATGGACTGAAGTTGTTCTGTATAAACTCTTAGAATCCTCTTAGCTTTCTAGGCAGACATGGAATAGTTATTGTTACWGAGCTTGTTTGCATTATTTGGGAAACAAGTTGTATAAAAAGTGAGGCTGAATAAACTAACCCCATGTTTAAATGCAAACAAGCTGATTTATGAAACAGTGTTATCTATAAAGGAAATGCTATAAACAAATCAGACTGTCTCAAACTCATTGCATCTGAACATTTTGGCTTCTAAAATTATTTCAGTTCACAAACTTTGTGACTATGATGTTCAGATGAAAATGAGATCGAGCTATGAATCATTTTAAGGTGCTCAAATGCCACAGAAAGCACACAGTAGCCAATATTATATATAACTCAATAAAACACCGCAACACTTTTTAGCAGTGCTTGCTRACAAAATTAAGGAAGTAGTTCTGTGAGCAATAAAGTTAAGGAAACCCCAGTTCCAATGGATCAGATCTTGTGGTTGGAGTCACTGGAGTCTAAAAAATTATTACATGTTTACAAAAGGGTGAGTAACAAGGGCTCTCTCTCGTCTGACTCCCATTTTCATGAAATAGAAGATCTCATGTCTTTGAAATTACTTCTCCACCAGCTGAAAGGTTATGTAGGGAAGMAACTGGAAAAGACTAATTTCCTCAGAAACTCCACCACTACTATGATTACACAACAATCTATTATAGTGCTATGGCAAAAATYCTTTTATACCTGAGGATCATGTTATCCTTCCTATCTTTGTAGTAAAAGTCTTTTCATTGGAAAAATCTTTTGATCACTTGCAGATCTGACAGCCATCAGCAGGAAATCTCTCTATAGACTTAAGTAAGAGATTGCTTATATGTTACTTRTTATATAACTGGTTTTTGTTAGCAGCCCAAACAGTAGAGCAAAGTACAATTAAAGAAAATCAAATGGCATTTCAAAGAAAGTGAGATTTCTCTGTGCTGCAGAGTCTTTGATTTATGTCAAAYCTTAAGCAGGAAAACYAACAGGAAGCCCATTTGGCAGCACTYCCCATTTTAAAGACACTTCCARTGTTGTACAAYGCMTTCAAAATTTACTGCASTTTTCCTTCTGGCCCTGCAATTTGAAGAGCTGTAGAGAGGCTCTGATTGTGTTACTCAGTTATTTGAAAACAGAAAGCCAAGAAGTGTGGGATAGAACTTATCACAACAGAAAYGGTCCTTATTCCATGTAACATCATCTGCTTATGCTTATCCAGGTGTGTCCTTGCTCTCGTGGTGACTGTCACCTGTTCAACATAATCTGTAAGGCAGATTCATTTTGTGATAGCAGAGTACCAACGCAAAGTGTAAAATACCAATAGTCAGGCTGCCACTCAGTTCCATCCTTGAGACTGATMCTCCACAAAACCTTTCAGAAGGAACCATTTCTAGAGCTAGATAAGGGCGTGTGAACAGAACCTACAGCTGTGGAAACTGAAATAACAAGATTATACTGCTGTTTTCATCCCCCAGATTAAAGCAACAATAAATTTTTAACATTTCTCAATGCCCCTCCGTGTCAGTTTCTGTAGCATTTGAAAAATCTTTTTCATATACATTAAAAGAGAATGTTTTAAAATTAACATTTCATCTAAAACTTTTGTGCAGGCAAATGATGGGCTGTAAAAACGTAGGTAAGCTTTCAATGGTAGTGTTTTTTAAGAGGGCTGGGTCACTTCAATCTATGTTGTATGTTCTCCATCACAGAATTTGCTGCTGTTTCAAACCATTCAGTCATCTTCATGAGTTCTGAAGATTGTAGAGGASTTGCTCTTTTAAGGGGGTTATTGTTTGCTGTCACCATTGCCACATTGACAACTCAGCTGAGTTTATTTTTAAAAAAGCTGTTTCTAACTCTTATAGCTGTGAAAATTTATCATGGGAAGGTGACATGACCTGCCACTGACTCAGTGATGTGAATCTCTGAACCATTTATTTTGAGAATTTGGTTCTACCTGCTAATCTCAGTGCAGATCTACCTGTGAAATGTAATTATGACAATTTACACATTGTATTTTAAAAGCATTTAAGAAGCACAAATACCAATGATTTGGGCATTTTTTTTCCTAAATTATCAAAGTACTTAGAAAAAGAATTATTTTTCCTCTGCTAATAATTCCAATARAAGTATCCAGGTGATAGCACTTCCAAATAATCCAAACCTGTCTTTATGCATTTCCTTTGAGTTTCCAATTTCTCACTGTAGCTGTATGTTCTCTTACAAAAAATACCCTATATTGTTCTGAGGTGCTGGTAGGCATAAAATAATCACTAAAAAGGCCCTACAACGTTTAAACTTGTATTTGTTTGACCTAAAACAGTAACACAAGACCAAGGCACACCACCATCAGAGGTGAGCTTGGATTACCTCGCTGCACTCTTTGAAGCCTGTAGTTCACAACACCCTCAAGGCTAATCTGGAGTCCTTCTGAAACCTCTTCTGGAGCCTGTGGCTAGCTGAGAAACAGGCTTAGCAACAAGAAAAAACTCAGATTAAAATTAGACTCAAACAGCTGTGTTACCTGTGTGCAGAAAATACAACTGCTGTATTAAATGTATTTTGGAGATCCACCAYTGAAAAAAAAATTCTCCCCAATGCAGTAATGAAAAATAATAATAGAGGAGAAAATCATTATTTTTTTATTGTCTGCATGCAGAGTGCTCAGAGACAATAATATAAAAGATCCTATAAAAGACCATTTAACTGTACACTTAATGGTCTTTGTAACTTATAACTATGCAAATTTCCATACCTCAAATGTTATTTTTCTGTATCATTCTGTTGAGTAAAACAGAAGCAGGCATCTGAATGACAAATATTTTTTTTGCTTGTTCTCTCACTGGGCCAAAAACCAGAAAACTTAATTCCAGTTTCTGATATGAAAGCTAAAAATCACCACCAGTTACTTTTAGTAGAAGGAAATTCTCCATTTTTAGAATGAAAAGTATAAACTAAGAGGAGTAATGAAGTGAGTGAGGTCTGATGTAAATTTTAAACTAAAAATTAATTCAGAATCATATGTAACTATTTGTTCTTAAAAATTTTGCTCCTCTTTATCAAATTAGTCTCACTTTATTAACTGCATGTTACAGGAACATCCTATGAGGAGACTTTTGGATAGTACYTTTAAAATAGAAGTTGCAGTAATAGCTTTATGTTTGGTAGTTGCTATTTTGATTGYGCAAGTACAAGGTTATACATCACACTTATTGCCTATTATTTTTGTATTTTTGAAACCCACGAATCRGTTAACTGAATGATGCACTGAACAAATGTGCAGCAAAACATTCACATTCAAACATGGGGAGAAAAAATGTCTTTACCTTTGGTCAGCAGAACTGTCACTCCTCCCTGCASGTCTTGTGACTTTGCAAGTCTAACTTTTTTCATAACAAAATCAAAATCCAGTTGTGGTCACTTAGGGATTCTGTCCCCTATTACTGTCAGCACTGTGACTGCAGATAAACCTTATCTTCAGATATCTTTAGAGCAGTCTGCTATTCACATTTGCCTCAAGTGCTGAATAATCATTTAACTAATTTTGCCCACTTTAATACCTCATGGTTACTTATTTTGAATGACAGAAGTRTAAATTTTGGCACTGCAAAACTTTATGTCAATTGTCTCTTCCTTTTGGTACATGCACCCTGTAAGCAAATATATTTTGGGCTCTCACAGGAACTGTTGTGATTGAAGAGCAAATAACAGCATGGAGGCAAAATGAAATGGGATAGCAAAACACTTTAATCACAGATGTTGCAATTTTATCACTTACATCACTTCCCTATCATGTGGAAGGTGTGATGTGGCCTGGGAGAGACAGTGTAGTGGTTCCAGCCATGTGCAGGGTTCTGGGGTCTTTTGGGCTCATTCCCACTACTCGATGGAGAGAAGGGTGCCTGGATTCTGATGCAGACCCCCCATTCCCCCAGCATCTTTTCTGTACTATGTTTACCTCTGARGTTTCCTCAGCTACAGGACCTGCTGCTACCCCCTGCAGACCACCTTGTTGATTCTGGTTTAGTTGTGCCATTGTCTGAGCTCACCATCAGCTTCTTTGACGTTCTGGCCGAGTCTGGACTGTTATTAAGGACACGTGRTTGATCACACTTCAACCATTCTAGTACAGCAACCAATTAACATTCCTAGGCTAGTCAGCATGGCTAACAGCAACAGGAATCCTATCTGCATTACAGAAATCTAACATTTCCTTTCCCTCCTGTTAGACATAAAGGTTATGCAGACACAAAGGGCMAAATGTGATGTTTTGGTTACAGTCACCTCCTACTAAGGGGTTCTCTGCAGATTCAACCATATTCCACTTTCAGATTGTTTCACAGTTGATCCTGTCTTCTAATTAAAAAACCCAATCATCAATACAGCCAYAGGAAAGTGCTGTCTGTGCTCAGCAGACAGTGAAACAGTTAACTCTCAGAACAGACACASCCCTACCTTAGCTTGTTAGGTCAGGTACAGGGAAAGTTTTAACTAGATATGGGCGTGAAGATGACAACTGAAGTCTTGCTTGGTACATTTAAAGCAAAAGATGTTATTTTGTTGTACAACACACAGTTAAGTATTTTCTTTTTACTACACTGAAAATGGGCCAGCTGCCTGATTTTGCATTTAGGATTCTCAAGAAATGATGCAAAATTAACCTTTTTTCATGTTATTCTATTACTAAGTGAAAATAAAAGGAAGGAAAGAATTTTAAAAGCAGAAAATATATTAGCTATACTGAGRCTATGCTGAATTTACTTACTGGATACTGCATGCCAGCTGCAGCAATCAAAACAGATGACTGATGTAAAAGCATWGGAAAAACATGCAAAAGCACAAGTCACAAGTCTGGTGTAAAGTCTCTCTAATAAATACAATATAGCCAGATCCTGTGTCCCAAAATTCCAAATTAAACAGCAAAAAACTTTTAAAAGAAACTTAATAGATAGACTTACTTCTAAGCACTATGGATTTAAAAGATTGTAATCACGCTACAAAAGGCAACGACTATATTCTAAATCACATAGTTATGACAACTGAAATTCAGTTCAAGGTGGTGATCCCAGTTGAACTCTTGGATGGACAACATCTCTTTAAATCAGAGCTTTTTCTCTTAAGAATAGGTGGCAAGGTGCTTTGACATACTTCTATCTTTATTTAACAAGTACTTTGTTGCTTTTCTCTAAAGACTTGCATTGATTTTATCTAGTAAAACTGTTCAGTTTTGTAAAAGGGACCCTGGGAAAGTTGTGCATCTCTAGAAATGCAGGAAATGGCAGATTTAATGCATTGTTAGTTTTCCTAGAGTGCTTTATATACATAAATAAGAGCATATCAAAGTATTGTTTCTTTCTAYCTGTTGGTATTTGGGTTTGCCATTGACACTAAAATGGGAGGAGCTGTCAACTCCCTCARGGGCAGAGGCCCTGCATAGACCTTGACAAATTGATGGGCAATCACCAACCAYATGAAACTTAACAAGGGCWGGTGGTGGGTTCTGCACCTGGAACAGGGCAACCCTGGCTGTTTATGGACTGGGGAGCAACAGTGGAGAGCAGCTGTGGGAAGGGACCTGGAGGTCCTGGCTGATAGCAGGYTGGGTAAGAGTCAGCAGTGCCCTGGYAGCCAGAAGGGCCACTCRTGTCCTGGGGTGCATCAGGCCCAGCATCACCAGCCAGGCCAGGGAGGTGATTGTCCTGCTTTGYTCTGCACTGGGGCAGTCTCGAGTCCTGGAGGCAGTTTTAGACACCAMAACATAAAAAAGACATTAAGCCTTAGAGAGGGTCCAAAGGAGGACCAYGAGGATGGTGAAGGATCTGGAGGGGAAGCCTTATGAGGAGTGGCTGAGGACATTTGGTTTGCTCAGCCTGCAGAAGAGGAAAYTGAGGGGAGACCTCACTGCAGTCTTTCACATCTCTTMACTCTTSTGACCAGTGACAGGACTCAAGGAARTGGCATGAAGCTGARTCAGGGAGGCTTAGGCTGGGTATCAAGAAAAGGTTTTTCACCCAGAGAGTGGCTGGGCACTGGAACAGGCTCCCCAGGAATGTAGTTGGAGCCTGACTTCAGGAAGCATTTGAAGAACACTCTCAGGCACTTGGTGGGATTCTTGGGGTGCCCTGTTCAGGGCCAGGAATTGGACTTAATGATCTTGATGGGTTCCTTCCAATTCAACATATTCTATGATTTGTAGAAATAATTTTCATTTTGGAAGAGAGGTTTTCTTCAATTGTAGTATTCCATCAAATATAATTTTCTGCAGTTCTGATGTGTACAGGGGATTACACAAAATGCAAGGCTTTCTCACAGATATTAAACTCTATTGCACCTACAAGACTCAATAATATTACCAAAATGATGCTTGTGTTTTGGAAGGGGCTTTGACTGCAACATGTCCATTCTTCTAGACTTCTCAGCTCTCTGGAATGAAACAAACAGCTCAGTGAAGCATTAAACCTTGCTTAGGCTTGGTTTGCTTTACCTGAACCAAGGTGAATAAGAGTCATAACGGTAGTATAGCCATGAAGCAGGTCATCTTTTATGTCATTACATTCTCTTAATACGAAATTCCCAGTAACTATTCGATCACATCCTATTTCCCCATGTCCAAAAAAGCCAAAGAGGGGTACATTTGGAAAAAACTTCCTAAATGCATCTGCTTCCATATTCCTTTTGGTTTTGTAATGCCCATATCCTCTGCCAACACAYGCAAACATGAAGCCAATGGTGTTGTGCTCGGGGATGTTTGCTGCTTTGAGACGCTGCATGGCCGCTTCTGCCGTCCTCTCATCAGCCACGTCCTGGTCTAACAGAACAGTGGCACTCTGGATCTGGGGACCGCTGAAAGCCAGCCCAACCACGCCGCAGGCATCACCGGGCTGGGCATGGTTACTGAAAGGCAACAGGCACTGAATTAGACAATGTTTTGGGGAGACCACATCTCACTAAACTTCTGCTGCATAGATTGAAAGCAGCCAACATGGCAGTGATTCTGATACCACCCAAAGTTAAAAAGCAAACCAAAGAACTCACAGTTTAGCTATGTTTTTTTTATAGCAACCTTTCACAAGGAAAATCTTCCCCAACCACCAGGAGGCATTAAGCATAAACTTGTTTCACACATGTCAAATTTAGCAGTTGGTGTATGTCACAGCTCTGTAATTCCAACTAAACCATCAGTTAAACTTAAAACAAGCAAAGGCACTCAGGATTTATACATGGAAGCAGGGCAGCAGTCAGTAAAGGGTTCGGATTCATGTTGCTTTAAGTTGGTTGGCCAGGACATAYGGGGTTAAGTAGTTACGTACTTAACCTTTATCTGCAGTGACTTTATATAAGGTCAGCTCTCTTATCTGGGGCAATGGTGMAGTTGGCAAAATCAGATGTAAGAAAAAGCTTGATATTAATATGGACTGCAGACCTCCATGGCATGAGAGGAGCCTGTGGGCATGGCTGTACAGGACATAGTACCACATCCTTCAACAGCAATAGCGGATCAGGAGTTCTCCTGGGGCACAGCTATGGCTCCGTGCTGTGAGCCAAACTGAGGAAGATACACAAACACATGTTCACATCATGGGCTCCATCACAAATGAATGGGGATTCCATTTACCTGCAYTCAGAGATGAAATGCTGACTGCAGTAAACACACAAAGGTATCTAAAGCTGGAAATCTCGTTTTCAGTGGGTTTCTCCTAGCTGGGTTATCAGAATCCAGTTTGTAACACAGCCATACAAAACTTTCAGCTTTTCTGGSTACATTACAAAGTAGCAGTTGGGACATTCTTCCCTTTAAGAAATCATTATTTTACTACTGTTAACAGGCATTTCCATTATGATTAGAATAGACTATAGATCTACAATGTTTCTCTCATTTAAAATCTTCTTCATCATTTACCTTGAAAAAAAATACCTACTTCTCAGAGGTCAGTGATGTAAAGCTCTCCACTTGGCCTCCAGCCAGRATGATACTCTTCTCATTCAATGGATTGACTATTTGATGAAGAAATCGAGTAGCTCCCGTCCTCCAGGAGTTGTAGCCAAACAGAAGAACAACACGGAGATCTGGGTTATTCTTCAAACCTACAAAAAAAACCCAACACTGATTCTTGTATTTTTAAATGCTGAACTCTGAAGCCCAACCATCCTAGTTTCTCCTCAAATAATACATCACACCTCTCTCTGAACAGCTCTGTTTGAAATGTAATGAAGGTAATTGGAAACTGATACTCCAGATAACTTAACCTTAATACTCCAGGGATTGGGAGGAGCAGAGATGCACAATACCAGCTGTAGCCCCACAGTGACTCTTGAGACCAGTACAGAAGCTGCTGGTGCCACGCATAATTCCAGACTGGCACCTCAAAGAGCAGCACAGCATCTCACAAAACCCCAAGTAAAGGAGAGAAAAATTATATACCTGCTTCRGCAAATTTACTTTCATCAAAGACTCTGTTCTTCACATCTTTAGAAAAGTGGAAGGTGTGAATTTTCACCCCATCAATTTTGGGAAACAACAGAGCAAATCCAGCTTCGCCCTCTTCAATTTCTTGAGGCTGATTGCTGCTTGAACCCATCGGAGTAACTACAGAGAGAAAACCAAGCATYTTGTGTTCAGGGGTTCTAATACTTTCATTTACACTGTAACATGGGTAGAAAGAGGTTGAACAGCTCAGGTGATACATAACAATCTATTTCCATAACGACTTATCTAACTGAGAATTAGTGTGATTTTTTTTTGATGTTTTGGAAAGATGAAGCATATGTATGTCCTGCTGGCTATGGATCATGCTGAAGTCACTTTGGACAAGGAGATGTGGACATATTTAGACATGTCCCCCCCAGTCAYACCAAATATAAAATACTAGGAAAACAAGAACAGTGCCTTCCTATCAACTTCTGCAGGCACACAAACATGCTCAAGTTCTTAAGGTGTCATACAAGCATTAGATGACAGTRTARAGCTAACTGACCCAAATATTGGGAGTGTATTATTAAATTATGGCAGTGACAACAACCAATTACCCTACCTATGAATTCAAGGTGTGAAACTATAAAAAAAAATCAACCTTCTAATGATTTAGAAGAGTGAAGCATGATAAAATGCCAAGGGAGGCTATGAATTTTCCATAGTTACTGCATACGTCCCCTGCTAGACCATTACAAATAGATATATACCAGGATGTCCTGTACTATTAGTCACAATGTGACTAAAACATATACATAAATCTGAGCAACATTCAGTAAGTGTATAAATGTGCCAGGGAAAGCTGCCTGCCCAATTAAACCAATGCTTAATTATAACTGCAACACATCTAGTAAGCTGCGTGTCACTTAGCAGTGACACTATGAACTCTTTAAACAGAAGCCAGTGCTAAACAAGATGAGAGGTGACATCTTCAAGCTGATCTCTCAAAAACCCACACATTTGGCTCCTACCTACAATCCCTGGGGTGACCAGTCCAAGAACCTGACATCGCTTTGGCAACAACTTTTCAAGTGCAAGTGCTGTTTCCTTACTGTTTCTTTTTCTGGCTGTTAAAATAAGAAGAGACAAAAAAAACCTATCAGAGAGCAGTAAAAGTGTGTTCTGAGCAAATCTCACAGCCAAACCCGTCTTGCTTAACCAATGCTGCCCATCAGTGGCCGCCCTGGTAACAGCACGCAGGTCTGTGCTGTTTCCTGAGAGCATAGGGCTGCCGGCAGGCAAACACACTCAGCGTCTGCCACAGAAGGGAAAGGAGTCCATCTGTACACATGAACACAGACACATGAGCTGCTTCCTACCACAAATGCAACATTACACAGTCACAGGTTCTGCAAAAGATTTACTTCCCATTGAAACTAAAACTCAGACAACTCCCTTTCGATTATKCTCTACTTACAACCCACACATTTCTTGAAGTGGAATCAAGTTAKGTACAGACTTYACCTTTCTTTTGCTCATGACAATCCTCATGCCCGCTGAATGTCTCTGCATCAGCRATGTAGAGCACGGTCTGGGGTAGCACATGCACCTCCTGCAAAGATACAGGAGAAGGAGTAGAAGAGACCCGGAGTGAGTGATGGGAAAGTGGAGTCAGAAACTGATCCTGCTCCACTAGCAGCCCATGCTGGTCCCCTTTCCCCTCACCAGGCTTCAACCTCCCATTAGCCTCAGAAGTGCCCAGATTTATCTAATGAATTGGAAGCATAGMCAGTGAGCTGACCCAAATCTCACATGAGCAAGAACAGCTCTGCAAACTATCCCCATGGCTCTGCTCCATCTTCTAGCATTATTTAAACTCCTTGCAAACATGGCTGTCAGTTTCTGCTATTCATCAGTGCAGATGCTGGGAAACACTGTGTAGAAGCACTTCTGGCCTTTTTTGTTCCGATTGGTTTAACACTGATCTGCTGAGGCCTCGATGTAGTGCTTAAGACCCTGAAGACCCACACCAGGTTTAATACCGGAAAGGAATCCCGCCAGACAGAGAGATCCTGCAATGTTTCCTCAGTGTCTCCCAGCCTATAAGGGTTTACCGCTTAACAAGATTCCCGAGATGAACAGATGTGCCCTAAACTGCAAATCCTCGGCGTTTTGATTGGTGTATTAACCGGCAACACTGGAACTGTCAAAACCAGTTACTCCTCCGAAGCCGTCCCTTTTATAAGCGGCTGGAAAAAGTGCCGTCAGTGTTTACAGAAGAAGCGCCTTCAGTGTTTACAGAAGAAGTGCCGTCAGTGTTTACAGAAGGCCCTGATCTCGCGCCCCCTCAGGCCGCCCCTCGCGCCCCTCACCTCGAGCTCGCGGGCCAGCGCGCGCACCAGCGTGTGGCTCTCTGAGGGGCCCGGCTCCAGCGCCGACACCCACGCGATTCGCTGCCGCGTCCGCAGCGTCCGCCGGGCGCACTCCCTCCACAGCCGGCACACGCTGCAACACAACACGGACACGCCGCGTTGGCCGCGCCGCCCCCGCGAACCGGAGCCGGCTGCCGCCCACCCCACGGCCCCGGCCCTTACCAGGCGGCGCGCAGCAGCGCCTTGGTGGGTAGGAAGCCGAGGACGCGCTCCACCACCTCGGCCAGGTTGGCGAGGACGAAGCCACTCTTGGTCTCGGACTCCATGGCCCCGCCGCCACCCCGCTCCCGCCGCGCTCCGAGCGCCCTGCGTCACCCGCGCGCCGCCGCGCCTGAGGTAACTTCCGGTCAGCGCCCACGGGCACGGGCCCCAAGCTGGCGCCGCCTGGCGGCGGGGAGGACCCGCCCGGCTCYCATCTCCCCCCTCCCTCGAGCCCCSAGCCCCAGCACGGACACAGCGCTTCGTAAAATGCTTTTTATTCATAAACTTGATGCAAGTTTACAAATTACTGTACATTGCCAAGGAACTCTGCCAGAAGAAATGGAACCCAAACAGAAGCATGCGCCGAAGGGCGCTGTGCCCGGACAGCGGCACAGCCCCGGCTGTCACCCACCGCACCGGGCGACAACACGCACTGGAAGCGGTGCCAAACCTCTCCCATCGTTTCTTTCGAGCTAGAAAACTGGATCTAGAAGCAAATGCACAAGGACCCGCGGGTGCCTGATAGAGAAAAGAGCACAAGTTTGATAGTCAACCAAAAAGAAACCATAACAAAAACATGCTTCTGCACCTCTAAAAGTGCTTAATCCATGGAACACACCCTTAGCTCGGCCCCGAGGGTGCACAGGCCTAATGACTAGTACTACAACCAAAATAGAGTCGATTTCGGTAAGGCAATGGAATTGTGTAAGTACACAGACCCAGATTCATCTCCTAATAAAGAAAAAACAGTTCCCATTAGTCTTTCAATGACAAAACCACCGTCATGACTATGGCAGCATTTCTAACGCCTCTGAATCGGTTGACATGTTTTTGTACTTTAGTGTAGCTTTTATATAAAAATTTTTCACTCAAGGACTTTCATCTCAATTTGTGCCAATCACTTTATAAGTTCATTAGTTTAGAAATGATTGCAGCAACCCGTTAATAAAATGGAACACCTAAAAAGGTTTTTAGTATTTTAAATAACTTCAAGCTTCATACTGCGGCTCTTCTTGTTAAGGAGGTTGAGCCAACAAGTAGCAGGAACAGCCCAGCAAGTTCTGATGCCCCAGTGGAAGTGACTAGTTACAAGGTTTTATTGGCACAGCCTTGCTCTGAATAACAACAAAAAAAACAAAAGAAAACAAAAAAAGAAAAAAAACCCCAAAAATTTAAGATAATCTAAACAAAGAGCATCTTTTCCAATAAACAGTTCATATTCTCATACAGCCATGAAAAATGTTTAATGACTTAACATACATGTGTTTTTCCTATACCATTAATTTGGAAATACTACAAACGCTGTCATTTTAGACCAGAAAAACTATTGTGATTTGCAAGACCTGACATTTCCTAAAACAGTATTAAACAATGTATTAAATTTCTTGGCTTTAAATGAAACAATACAACGCAAGTCTCTGCAGTCTGCATTTTGCAAAAGGTAAGAAATACACAGAAGTGTGTGAACAACTCACTCTTATTGAATGATCTTTAGTAGTAAATTGATAGCCTGTTGCAGGGAGAGCTTATGCTTTCAAATAAAAAAAGGGAGAAAGGAGGGTGTGGCCCAAATATGCTTAATCCATAAGAACAAATATGGTAAAGGCCCAAACTGCTCAGTCCAGATACCTAAGAAGAGCGGAATGGTAAGGCTGTAACTTATACTGTACGTGTCAGTTGACAGATTATCCACTAACTTATCTAATAGCTAAAGTCCTCAGTACAGCTGTTATAGGGGCACTCATAGCTTGAGTCTGTGTGTTGGAAAACATAGAAAAGAACTTGTTTTGTTGACATTGGTCCAGGTATACAGCAGTCCTCAGCGTTAGCCATCTTCTTTTGGAGGAGTGTACCAGCCTGTGGAGAACAGAGACACGTTAGGTACCAACACTGCTGTGTCCACACCATCCTACTCTTCATCTGGGGGAGACAAGCCTAACCTGGCTCATTCCTTCCCTCCTAAAGCAGGCCAGCTCAGCAACATCCAGTGCCCTAAATRCTAGTAACCAGCAGTGGCAGACAAACCATGTGGCACACTCCAGATCAGGCCCAGTATTTGGGTGGCAGATTTTTGTGGCAGYAGCTATCTTGAGCTGGACAAGCTGGACACCAACAAGAAGAAACTGCTGAAGGAGGAACATTGCTCTAACCAAACTGAATARAACAGAGGTAAAACTGCCAAGTCTTCAAGCTACTTAAAGCACAGACACACAAACATGACTGCACTGGGACACTTATATAAATCTCATTTTGTGWACTGCAGAGTTAGGCACACATAAGCAATCAAAGTTTATCCGACTTCTGCAAATCTTACTGTAGGAATAAGCTCAGAAATGTCAGTTGAATAACTGGTCTCCTGACATAATYTGGCATGTTTAGCAGCTGAATCATACCTGATCAAGTGGGTACAGCTTTTTCTAGRGACCTCCAGAGCTCCAGTCTTAATTCTCCCAGCCCTCTTGTAAAATTTTTTCTAACTGTGTGTACAGTGACTACAGGACCTATTTGTGATGTCCCAGAGAGCAGGTAGCAGCTGTAAGCTCAAGACACCTTTCACAGCAGCACTGAGGGCTGTGAATGTTTTGTGTACAGCTCCTGAGGCAGGACTGATCATTTGTAGCACATAGATAAAAGTAAACAGGCAGCCAGCCTGGCTGTTGTAGCAAACTAAATAAAGCAAAAGATTCAATTAATGGCAAGATCAAAATATTGCAAAATTGGAGAGCATATTAAAATCATTATCTCCGATCTCCTCCCAAGTGTACAGGTGTTATGCTCCATTTTAGCAGYAGGGAAGCTGAGGTGCTCACTGCAKTCACACTGAAAYACACTCTGGTGTTCACAGCAACCTGAATTCCTGGAGGACACTGTGTCCAACCCAGTGTGAAGAACATCATGGAAGTGGTAAGTGGACTAAGTCCCTCATCACAAGATCAGGGTGCCAATTCGGCTGACTATCTTTATGTAACATGTAAGCTACTTAAACCTGTTAAAGCTTCAGGCCATTTATTATCTTCTCATACTGTCACAGTAAATTCAATTATACCTAAAGCATTKATACACACGTTTTATGCACCAGAGAACTTCAAATAGAGTAAAAAGCCCAAACTGAAACAGTGTGGCTCCCTGTTCTATTATACAGTTTCCAAGCTAGTGCACCTCACTTGGACTTCTTGTATTCTTTTGTCTGGGGTCTTTTTCCATTTTATCTGTTCCATAATCATTAGAACCACTAGGCTCTTGCCACATTGAAACAAAATCTTTCAGGGARCAGGACAAATTTCCAGCAGATAGTCCAGCAATATTAAGACCCTTTAAAGCTACAGTAACAATGAAGTTCTTAGATCAACTGGCTGAAAAGGAAATGGAGCTGCCTTTCAAGAAGCAATAGGAACACATGGAGCATCCCAATAAGCTGGAAAAGTTGCAATGACTGCAGTCAAGGTAAGCACTACTGTCTTTCTAGTGCAAGAAGGAAAGAAGGAAAAAACATTGATGGTCTCCCCAAGCCAAAGTAAGACACTGTCACTTCAAGTTTCTCTGTGGCCAAACACCAACTCCCAGGGTGCTGTGCAGACAAGAACAAAGTGATTAAGAACATACATACCATTTTTCTCATGTATTTGTACTAGTGACTTATAGGACTGCTGTGCTCTTGCTAGATTATATTGATTCTGAAAGGAAAATAAAACTAACATAAAAACCTGCATCTAGACATGAAAGACTTGAAAGCAAYTTTACAAGGAAATTCTACAGTGGGCTTAGAAATAAACACCATGCACAATGTTAGAACATTTCTGGCTTTCAAGATTCTCTTCTAAGAGGCAAAAATTCTTAATCCTCCCAATCCCTATTCTCCTTCCCTCCCCCCCTGCCAATAAGGAGAGCAAAAAGTCTAACTGCTTAAATACCCTGCCCATCCCAAGGCTTCATCCACCTCATATGCTCATAATTACATAACAAATTCTTAATTGCCAATRAAATACTGATACAGGCATCAGACAACTCAAAATGAAAATATATCTGCAATAACAATTCTGTCATTAAGCATCTTCTATGCAAGTTAGCAAAGAAATGGAAGCCCAACTGTGATCTGCATAATTRATAAACACAGCACATTTACCTTATTGGCTCCAAACTGTACTCTGGCTTTTCCTTTGACTAAAGTGGCATTGATCTGCATGATGACTGACTCTATTGAGTAGGCACTGCTCCAGCCCTGGAGGAGGAAAGGAATATTAACATTCAACATGTACTTGCTTCTTGTGCTCACCTTGCAAATCTATTTTGGAATGTGTGCCATGAGATTTTTTTTTTCTGGCAATCCAGTTTTAATTTTAACAATTTCTTTCCAGTTAACTTTTAYTTTCCACAGAAAATCTGTAAAATTATATACAGTTGTTGTACTAAGAACTCGTAAGAAGAATGAAAAGGCTGATTCACATTTCCAAAATACAGCAAGACAGAAACAAAAAAGCTCCATCCTTACAGCACTGACACATTTACAGCAATGTCACAACACAAATTACAAATTCTTGTTCCAAGAAGCAGAAAAGACTGATCTCAAAGAAATCAATTCAGTAAAAGCTATGAGACTTTGGCTCATCTCTGGCATTGCTTTACCTGCCGGAGCGAACAAGAGTTCTTGCCTGAGCCTGCAAGCAACTTCATCCATTTATTTATTTGATAGAGAAAATCCCCCTATCTRCACAAGAATCATCTATGCTTATAATCTCCTGTATCCCTCACTTCTCCAAAGCTGGCTTTGTGCAGCTGAAGAAGCTTCTGGAAAAGAAAACAATGTGTTTTGCTCCCCAGAACTCTCTCTTCACACTGCCTTCCTCACAGAAATTCTGAGAAGTTGAAGTGCTCTCACTTCCTGCTCTTCCTTAGAAGCCATCAAAGGTAGAAAAGATCTCAAACAAGACCAGCAAGGCAAATTTAATTCCACCATGTTTCCTTTGGCTTGTGCAATTTATTCCACACAGGGATTCYTCAACTCAGAGAAAACACCTATTTTCATTATTTTAAGGCATGCTTTATTATCCAGATAACAGAGTCCATATTCACCTGTTTAGTAAGAAGTTCCATGCATAATGCACCTCCACCTAGGACATACCTAATGAAAGA